ACGGTGAATCCCACTATTCGTTGATAAAAGAGTAGCCCAAGAGTTGGCGGTGGGTGGTGATGACTAGCTGCCTTCCCTCTAGTCTTACACTGCTAAATTAGGGACGGCTAGCGCATATAGCCCTCGTGTAGCTTTGCGCGAAATTCAAAAACAAACAAACAAACTTTGAAAAGGTTTGTTTGTTTGTAGTTTAAGCACAATGCTACATAATGGGCTATCTGTGCTCTGCCCATCACGGGTATCGAAACCCAGTTTCTAGCGTTGTAAGTCCGCAGACATACCACTGTGCCACTGGGGGTACTTTGAAAGTGAATGTTTATGTAACAGTGGAAGATTTCACTGACACAGTTTTCGTAGAGCATTCTCAAACTATATACGAATAACTTAAGTTTGCCCGCCACGGCCTTAACCTGTAAAATTGAACATTACCTAGCTATTATGGGATTTTTACCTCTTTAGTTGTTTTTATATATTAAAGTTTACACTATCGGCAGACAGGATGGATTTATTGAAATTTACACTATTGGCAGACAGAATGGATCTATTGAAATTTACACTATTAACGGACAAAATTGATTTCTTGAAGTTTACACTATTGACGAACAGAATTGATTTATTGAAGTTTACACTACTGGCAGACAAAACTGATTTATTGAAGTTTACACTATTGGCAGATAGAATTGATTTATTGAAGTTTACACTATTGGTAGACAGAACTGATTTCTGATCGATATTATTTTATTGTAATGCCTTTTACGTTGAGTATTCTTTCATTAATTTGTTTGTTGTGAAGTGCAAAGCTACCATATTGAGCAACCGTGGGTATCGAAACCCCATTTTTAGATTTATAAGCCCTTAGGCTTATTGCTGAGCCACCAGGGTACTCAAGCTGAGTAGGATTAAACTTCTTTCCTGAAGTAAATATGTATTCCGCTATTTAGAACTATTGAAAGATTGGTTCTTGTGAACTACAGTATTGTATACATTTGAAAAGGTACTTTAGCTTCGTAATTGAACTACATTTGGTAATGTATTTTCGGAACTAAATACGATCATTTTTAAACCTCAAATAAAATTTCGCTCTGTTAAATTGATTTCTAAATGAACCAAAGAGTTTTATCTATTTATGATGGTAAAGTAAGTAAACTTTATGAATTTAATCCATTTGATAATTTTTAACGTATTTAATGAAATAACAAGTGAATGTTCATTTCTTTTACCTGAACTAGAGAATATGTTTTCCTTTCTTTATAGATTCATTTGTTTTCGGGATATGTGATATTTCCTGAATTGCAGCTGAAGTTCTCCTTAAGATCATTACGTATTTCCTGAGTTATAGACTTAATTTTTTGTAAGACTGCATTGTACTTCCTGAACTACACCTTCATTAGTATGTACTTCCTGACTTAAATAATAGCTTTTATTTTAAGGCTATACAGCAAGTTAACTTTAGAAGTCTGTTTGTTTGTTGTTCAGCTCAAAGCTACACAATTGGATATTTGTGCTGTGCCAACCACGGGTATCGAAACCCGTTTTTTATCGTTATGAGCCTTCGGACATACCCGGAGTCTCTAGGAGGCTTAGAAATCAGGTTCCATAATTAAAATAATGTTTCACGGAATAAGATCCCATTTTCTTCTATAATTATACGGAAAGCTTTGACTTAATGAATCAGTTCTCCTTGAAACGTTAAAATCAAAATTCACAGAATATTTCAAATTAGTAAAATTGAAATATGTCTAATAAAAAAAAGGTTTTCTTGGAAAGTATTATTTTATTCTGAAAAGTGAGGATAGGCTTCTTTTTACAATTAAATGCACTTCCTAAAAGAAGGATTCAGTTCTTTTTAAGGATCAGTTCTCCCACAGGTTATATAGTATTTTCTTACTGTGAATTCATATCTTAACTTATAAAAAAAAAGTGCTCAAAATGTTTCGAATTACTTAAACTTAAAGAGGAATTTGCGAACTAATGATTAAGGCCTTTCTAAGCTTAGAATTTATTATATGATCTAATTATTCAGTTTTTTAAAGGGTTAAAAGTAATTTCAGATTAAACATAATTTTCTTTACTGTATAAGGCCTTTCCTAATTCAAAGATTAATTTCTCCTTAGAATTATGCCTTTGTTTCCTGAAGTGGACAGTCAGTTCTCAATAGTGTAGCCTAAAAAAGGTATTTTTTACGATTAAAGATTTATTCAT